GGCATGTGGTCTAGTGGTGAACTTGATAGTATTGGGTCATGTCTGGACTTGATGATCTAATGGGTCTTTTCCAACCTAGATGATTCTAGGTTGATTTTATTCTAAAGGAGTTCACAGCAAACTCCAGAACCTTGTGACTCCTCCATCACTAAGGGACGAAGGCCTTCTGCCCTCCATCTGCCAGTCCCAATTTCCGCCTCTGACTGAAACAACTGAAGTGACCAAAGTATGCCCAGACTCTGGAGAAATTAATGTTGAGTTCCTGACGTACACTTCTGCTCCCAAGAGTTTCAGAGTGAGGTCAAAGCTGAGACTGGAGGAATGTCAGTGAGATGCAAAGTGGAGAGCACGAGGAGGATGAAAGCTATCAGCAGTAGAGACCCTCTGCTGAAGCTTCCTGCTGCACCTGCAGTTCCTCAGTACTCCAGCCAGTGCTCTCCCCTGCAATAGGGCAAGGCAGGCGTCCTGCTTCATCACTCCCAGCTGGATTTGCCTTCTCTGAGCAAAGATGCTGAGTTCTCCCTGACCTCTGCAGCCTGCACTAAATCTGCAACTGGAGCCCATCAGCTGTTTCAGCACCCAGAGACTTCAACTCAGCCATCCTGGCAGCATCCTTGCCTGCTCCCACCGACCCAGAGCAAGGTCAGAGACACTCCCCCACAGAAACCTTCAAGAGATACCCCATGAAATGTCTGAGGGCAGCTGCCTGCACTCCCCACACCCCCGAGCACTCAGATCCCTATCCCCGCCATGGCTGCGCTGGCACTCACTGTTGGTGGGCAGGGTCCTGCTGCCGCTGAGGCTGCCTGCTGGTGGGGGGGAGATGGAGCGGACAGAGCTGGTGTCCTCGTCCTGGGAGCAGCCCGCTTGGATGGCTCGGAGGTAGCTGTGGCTCCGGGAGCGGAAGTAACTGGGCAGAGGCAGGTCCAGCACCTCGGCGGCAGCTGACTCGGCCTCGCTGTAGGTAGAGTCGCAGACCGCCTCGTACTGCTCCCCCAGCTCTGGCTCTCTCGCCTGCATGAGAAGAGGGGTAGAACAATCACCCCCTGCCCAGGGATGAGCCCCTTCCCCTCCCTCCTGCAGCCTTCTCCACTCCCCTCTGTGCTGTGGCTCCCAAGAGGTTTTGATCAGAAAAAAGCAGAGCAAGAGGAGCAGTGCTGGCTGGCACAGGTCCTGGGCAAGGGAAGAGGGGACCCTCCTTCTAGGTCAGAGGGTCCCCATGGGAGCAGAGACACTTACCACCATAGTGCTGCAAAGCACTACCCTGTTTCTGATGGAAAGGCTGGGAGTACAGGAGGACAAAATCCCTTCCCAGCCACAAACAATTTGGTTTTCCGCTGGCATGGCCGGAGGACCCCAAGCTCAGCTGTGAGACCCTACTGTGGCAGGTGTGCCCCACAGTGGGGTGCTGCCCCAGCCCTGCAGTGGGGCACAGGACTGGGGATGTGTCTCCATGCCCTGAGCCAGGCCAGCTGGCCCTGTGCTGGGCACGATGTTGCTGCAGCCCTGTTTGAGTGTGAGAGGAGAGGGCCAGGTGTGTGGGCTGAGGCCCAGCAAGGCCTGAGCAGGGGCAGCTCCACTGCCTGCTCTCTGCTCCCTTCTGCCTCCACCTTTCCTGGCCCTCCCCTGTCCTCTGGGGACAGCAGTTGATTCAGTTTCAGCTCAGGATATTCACCAACATTCGTTGGTTAAAACGAAGCCAGCCTGAAACAACAAGCATTTTGAAATACTGATGATGAGAGACACTGGGGATGGCTCTGTTGCCCACTTCCACCTCTCTTTGCCCTTATTTTGGCTTCAATGACACTATTTATGCCTGCTGCTGGCATCTGTAGCCTTTTCTGGGCTCCATCTTGTGATTCTATGATTCTATGGCTGAAAAAACTCTTCGCTTCCCCCTAGAACACACCTAAACCCTCTGCCTAGCCTGGGAAATCAAACTGTCCAGGTGTGCTGCAGTGCCCTGGGCTGGGCAATGCGTCATCCCCTGGCCCTGGGCAAGGGTACCCCACAGCTGCCTCACCCTGCCGTGGGGGTCCAGGGAGACCCCAGAAAGCTCCATGGAGAAGGAAGAGGGAACACCAGCGGAACGGTACCTGCTCTCCATGGGTAAATATCTGAGGGATAAGTGAGGGGGGTCCAAAGATCTGGAAGAAAGAGTTGAAGAAGGTTAAAGGCCAAGACAGGGGTAGCCCTCACACAGACAGGCATTGCACAGGGACTGCAGACGAGGGGAGCAGATGGCCCTTTCCTTGAGGCCTGCACTGCAGACACTTTGGTACAAACTTCAGAGCCCATAAGATGCCAAGCAAAATGCCGCATAGGCCCCTTTGACAGTGGCACAAACATGGCACGGCAAAGCACCACGGGACGCCTCTGAGACAGAGAAAAGCTGCTGATGCATTTAACCTGTTGTATGCACTGTATATTAATATATATGTACAGAGGGCACGCTTGGACACTGACAGCAGGAACACAGCGCCGGGGAACCCTGGACATTCTCACAGGCTGTGCGACAAGGGCTGTTGTGGCTCCTGGCTTGTACCTCATGAAGCCCCAGAACCTCATGGTGTGGCCTGGAGCAACGATGGCCTGCAGCTGCAGAGCCGGGTGGATGGCAGGCCGAGGGCTCCATGTCAGGGAAACTTTGCCCCTGTCTGGGCTCAGGCTGACCACCTTGCTGCTGACACCTCTCTCCCTACAGCAGGAAGAAGCCCCATTAGAATCCATGCTCTCTTCTTCCCACAGCAAAGCCATGACACGTACTTGGCATCAGGACAGACACCTGACAGATCATGCACTGCCTCTGTGAGGAATCCCACCTTCCTATCTCCTGACAGCTCCCTACATCCCCAGTCTACAGAGCACATTCACCCCAGGAGCTCTTTTTTGCACAGGCTGCTCAAGATGACCACTTCTGGCAAAAATCCAGGTTCAAATGCCAAATGTAACCCAAGGCCCTGGGGACTTCTGTATAAGGCACAGCTTGAATTGTGTTTCAGAAAAGTTGGGGTCAGCAGCCACTGGTCCCCGCATGTTAGAGGTAGATACTGATGCTCTCATCAGAAGAACCCCAAATTTCCAGAGGCTTTCAAGGCGGAATTCAGCCAGCAGCAAACCAAGTGGAGTGGACTTTGAGAGCTGGAGATGCTTCTGCATGCTAGGTCTGACAGGGGAGGTGTTGGGAGTTGCCCAAAATGAGGGCAGGGGAGGAGCTGCCTGCAGCACATGCAAAAAAGCAGGTTGGACCTGCCAGAGACTTGGGCCTCAGGTGAGGTGGCTTTGCTAATTCCACCCTGAATCAACAGTTATGCAGTTTGTGGGAGGACTTTAGATCCCAATTCAGCTGCAACTGGACACTGGTTGATTTGGAGGAAATCAGGCAAAGTGAAGACAGTGACACCAGGCCCAGGCTCAAGCTGGTGCTACAGCAGTCAGCATTATGGTTCTACAGGTCTGAGTCTGGAAAGGGGTGCAATCACGCAGTTCCTGGCACAGTGCAGACTGCCCAGCCCCTTGAGACACTTCAGATGCCTTTTTAGGGTACTGCTCTCAGCTGCTAAATGGCACATATGTGCTGGAGAGAGCACAGACTCAGCCCACCCCTGGCAGAGGTCCGAATTCAGACACAGGTTTCCTGCAAAGGACAGGAATACAATGGCCCCGACCTCTTTCTCTGTGCTCACAAAACACCCAGCATATTGTCTAGGTACAAGAAACAAGACTGATCACAAGGAACATGCATGCCTGTGAGCAATGCTTTGTGCCTTTCCCCAAAGCTCTTCACAAATGGCTTCAGCCCTCTGCCACTAGTAATTGCATAAGCCAGCTATGGGGCCGAAGCAGCTGGGTGAGGATGAATGTGGGCTCAGAGTCCTGCATACCTGGAGTGAGTGCCAGCACACACCTCCAGCCCTCCTCTTCAGTCTCTGCTTCCCCATGTCCAGCCTGATTCCTTAACTGCTGCCTCATTCTGCCTCCCTTGATCAGTGAACACTAGCTGCATGTGAGAGACAAGCTGCAGCAGCACAGAAAGGGCATGTGTGTGCACGTGTTCCCACGCAGACACACATGAACAGAGACAGGACATGGCAGAAGCTCAGGGTGGTAGTGACACAGCTGGGCAAAGCTTGTGGAGCCATAGCTGTCCAAGGCACCTTCACTTACATCCCAAAAGGAAGGGTCCCACCCCAGGGTGGAGATGAACACGAGACCTGTGCAAGCACCTCATGCTGGTATGAATGATTTCCTGGTCTACAAGGCCACACAGGCCCCAGGCCCCTCCAGCTTCATCCCAAGGAGAGACATAACACAGGACAGGGATTTGAGCCCAGAGGCTTTGGTCAGGGTTTGCCACCCACCATCAGTGCCTCCATGGCATCCTTGGCTCTGCCTGTCCTTCCCGGAGGCATGAGGACAAGGAGTACCGAAGGGAGACATCCCCAGTTAGCAAGCCAACCGTCTGAATCACAGGCACCTCGTTCCTGGTCCAAGCCGCTTCCCAAGGGATGGGGCACTCAGAGTATAGCGGGACTGCTGCTCCCTCTGCAGGGTCCGTGGCAGTCGGCCACAGACCATGTGCCACCTTTTGCACCAGTGAGGCTGGCCTGGGTCCTGTGCCCACCCACTGAGCACACGCAGTTTGCAGCAGGAGTGGGCAGCGTTGTGGGCAGCTCCTGGGTGCTGTGCAGTGTGAGCCTGCGTGCAGAGCAGCCCTGAGCTCTGCCCAGAGCTTTGAAGCATGTGGGGCTCCAGGCTACCATACCCATGCCCATGGCTTGGGCCGTGAACCATCTGTGGTCCCCACAGAGCAGTATGGGTGACCAGCAGCGCTGAGAGGAGGCAAAAGCCAGAGCAAAAGGAGTCCAATGTGAATTAAGAAGCTGGCTCTGACCCTTTGGTAAAGCTTCCAGAGAACAAGAAATCTGCTGACAGAGTGCAACTAGTGCCTTCTTTTTAAGGGACCCCCCCTCTACCAGCCTCCATTCTTTTGAGCTGAGTGTACAGTGGGACTTCACTCTCTAGCACCTCACCTGGTTGATACAACTGGACTCATTGACGCTGTCAGAGATCTGGTTGTATTCTTCCTCCCAGGTTGGGAACTTTGGAGGTAGGAGGATCTCAACAGAGTCCAGGCGGTCCAGGCTCCTGCCAGCAGAGAGAGAAGGTGTCAAGGATGTCCCCAGGGAGCAGGAAGCACTGGGGCTGTGCTGGAGCTGCCGTCCCATCCAGACCACACTGCCAGGCACAGGAACGCGCAACAGCACGGAGCTGGTGCTAGGTACCAGCTGGGTACACTGCTTGGCCCTGGCTGCAGCTGCTGCAGGAGATGGAAGTGCCTTCTCACCTAGCTGTTCCCTGGTTTAAGCTGGTACAGTGTACATGCTAGGTTTGTTCAGCCCAGGAAGCACACAGGATCTGTGCCAGCCCGCAGAGTCACAGTCCCAGTTACAGATCAGCCTCAGCACAGACTGACACTGAGGGCTGTGGTCATAGAGCTTGCTACTCCCTGCCTGGTGGAAAGGGGCAAGAGGAGAGAAATGATTTTTCTGTGATATTTTTGTGGATTTCACTGTTAGAAATATCTGCAGGGTTTTTGTTTGTTTGCTTGTTTATATAGTGGAACCCAAAAGTTTATCTGGAAGAAGCTCAGGAGAAGCCAAGCCTGGACAGCAGTACTACAGCACCAAAGGGTTCAGTATTTCCAAAGTAGCTTTTGCTACAGCCTGTGAGGGAAGAATTGTCTCATAGCTGGGGCTCAGTGGGAGCCCCTGCAGCAGCAGAAGCAGGAGAAGGGCAGGGCTTTCGGTGAGCCCAACCCTGCTGAGACCAGGGATACTGCCAAGAGCTGGGTGCAAGGGGCTGGGAGTGATGGAGAGAGAGTGGGAGGCATGTGGGAGGGTGTGGGAAGGACCTGGCTTTTCCACTCTTCACTGCCACCATAAGACCCTGTGTGAAGCTGGAGTCATTGTCACAGATGAAGTGGGTGTGTGACGACAGCCTTGCATATTAGCTCAGTGCCATCTCTGATGTGTGTGTGGTCTGTGGGGGCTGCTGGGGCTCTGGAGCAAGTAGCAAGGCTCAGGCAGCTATGGTGAGTGATGAACTGCAGCGGCTCTGCCCTGTGAACCACCTGTGGTCCCCACAGAGCAGTGTGGGGGTAAGACCTGGGGGGGCTGTGGGGTGCAGGAGGTCTGTCCTTTGCACCCACGGAGGTTACAGGCTGTCTCCTGGCTGGGCAGACCTGTGGGAAGGATGATGGCATCTCCTGAGCCTCCATTCAGGAGTGTGATGGACACAGGAGTTGCCTCTTCTCCCAGGTGATGGAGAAGATGCTGGCCCTCCGGGGAACCGCTGCTGAGCTCAACTACCCACTGAGCAACTTGTGCCTGGCTTCACCCTGATCCACCCTCATCAGCTGCCTGTGGAGAAACTGAGTCACAGAGCAGGCATTGGGCCCTGGAGGAGCAAAAGTCTCCTTACCAGGATGGGGCCCAGTGGCTCTAGCTGAGGCGACTGAGGGATGTGGCCACGATGGGGTGTGGGGCCACTGTTCTGCTCCAGCTTCTGTCCCACTAGTGTGGCCCTGCACCAACCTGTGTGGCCACAGCTCCAGAGAACTTTCTGTGGGGGGGGCAGGGGTGAAGGGGTGGTCAGCAGATGGCAGTCGTGCTTGCACTCTGGGCCAGCCAGTTTCTGGAACCCAGCAGCTCTGATGAAGTTTCGTGCTCTGATGGGCATGACCTGAATGGACAATTAGCCCAAGACAGGAAGAACCTGAGTGTCAGTTATTTTTCATCACTGTCTACCACCAGAAAGCAGCACCTGGGCTCCAGCCTGATGGACCACAAATGGTCTCCAGACTACCTGCTGCTCCCTTGCTTTTCTGACTCCGTCTGCTGAACCGTGAGCAGTTCAAGTACAGCTGCTCCTGCCTCCTACCCAACTGCTCTCACATCTGATTGCAGCACCAGAGGGACTCGCAGCCCATCACAGCCTCTAGACGTCTTGTCCTGGCATCACACAAACCCTATCCTGTATGGAACAGCCCCTCACTTAGTATGCTTGCTGTGCTGCCTTTGCTCTGCTGTATATCTGGCTCAAAATGCAGGATCTTCCTCTCTCCATACCTGGACCTGGGGCTCTTAGCTCATCTCTCCCAGCTTCAGGGGACTACTCAGTCTGGCGCAAAACAGGCCCTTTCTTACTGGTCCCAGAGGCCTTGGGATGCTTGCGGAGCAAAGCAGATGGCATACTTGCAGCAGCGTGTGGCCTGTGTGCCACATGTCCTCAGCCATGCTGGCTATGCATCTCCATGCCTAGATAGCATCCCTGGGTTGTGATCTCCACACTTCCTTGGAGTAGCAGACCCTCAGCCAGAGAAAACCCACACAGCACCACCAAAGGAGGGCCCTCCCTGTCACTGAGGGACCTGGAGAGGGCTGTTTGGAGTCACCACTCTCTCCTTCCTCTGCCACATCTCCTGTTGTGCTCTGCCTGCCCCATGGCCAGCTGCAGCGGGTGTGAGGGAGCCCTGCTGGGCTCTGCTCCCCACGAGGGTCTCTGTGCAGTGCTACTGACCAAACCCCAAGGATGGCTTCCAGCATGGCCCCCAGGGACACACGCAGAGCTCTCAGAAGAGCTCCAGAGTTACCTTTGGGTGGTGCTCTGCTCACTCAGGGACTGTTGGGTGGCCTTGAGGTAACTCTGCCTCCGAGCTGCAGTTTTTGGGGATGGTTTGGGGCTGGTTTCTGAGTCTTCACTATCATCATCCCCCATGGCTTTGATGTAACTCCCGCTCCGCATGCGCCGACATGGGATCTCACTGTCTTTGTCCCGAGACAGCGTGTTGTTCCACTCCCCCTGAGGCACCTGCAAGAGTAAAGGAGTGTGAGCAGTGATGGACAGTATCTCTGGGACCAGAGGGACCCTGGGGATTCAGGGGATTGGTGGCAAGGCTGATTGTAGTAGCCTCGGCTGGAGAATAGTGGGAATGGGTAGCGCGATCCCTTTCCGACCCTCCCTTGCCAGCTCATGCCAGGCAGTCTTACGTTTGTTTGCTTCAATTTCAGCACATGTACCCACATACATTCACTCGATGACCGCTGGGCCATGCTTACACAGTTGATACAAGCTGCACAATGCCAGACACAATGAGAAGGGAAGAGCCTCACCAGATTTATGCTGCATGTTGGGACATGAGTGGCACACATTTGTTTAACACAAAGCTCATGCTTACTTAAAGTAACGCACACACATTGTTCAGGCCAAAGGCAGTAACAGCTGCACAGATCAGGACCAGAGTCCAATTCTCCCTCCAAGATTTATAAGTTGAATGAGACTCCCAGTGTCTGAAATTCATTTTGGCAGCCAAGCCAGGCCCTCACAAGTCCTAGAGCAGCTAGAGTATGTAGGCTTTGTGCTGATCTCTGCACAGAGATGAGAAGTACCTTGCAACAAAAGCATTTCTAACTTTACTAATTGTGGCAACTCTGTCATCAATTTAAGGCAGGCACAGTCTCTAGTTCTCTCAGTAGAGATGGTCAAGCTAATGCTTTCCACAAGGCCTGAAGTTCTGATCAGATCAGCTAATACCATTGCCTGTCTGCCCTGCAAAGGGTTTGTGTAGGCTGCCAGTGGCACAGGCAGGGCCCTGGACCAGCAGAAGAGCCAGATGTTAGCCCAAGGCTGAACAAGGCAAGATCACATGCAGACAGGCCAAGAGAAGGATGGGGCAACTGGAGCTGACAGGAGCAAGTCCTGTTTTTGTGGCTAGCTTGGTTTGTGGTTGGCCCTTGAACAGTCCTTAAGATAAGAAGAGGGGGATGAAGAGAGGACTGAAGCAATTGTTCCTACAGGGTTCCCTCATCTGCAATCTGTTCTGCAGTTTTTGCCTAGGGGGTACAACAGTATGGGCTGTCTGCGCAAGAGAAGGGCAGGCAAGCCTGAGGACAGCTAGAGTATTTCTCAGTACAGGATAGCTGTGGCTATTGGTATATCTAGCACCCTGCAGAACTGCCCACTGCACTGCCTGTAGCTGTAACTGATTCAGAGTGATGGTGAGGGAAAGCCACAGACTGTGGACTCTGAAAGAGATCTTCACTTAGAAGTGTGTGAGGACCAGGACAACCCAAGGCTGCCCAGCCTGCTGCAGGGAGCCTGGTGGTTGGGGAGCACCAGTGGGGAGCAGCTGCGTGCTGAGCCAGCTTGTGCTGGTGAGAGCATCCACATTTACTTTGCTGACAGAGCTGTTGGATTTACCCAACTCCCTGAGGGGCTGTAGGATTAATCAGCCAGTTTTTATCTAGTGCTTTGGGAATGCAGCTAACTGTGATCAGCTGGAGCTACTTAAGTACCACTCTGTTCCTGTTCCCCTCCTTATTTGCAGCAGGCTGGTTTGCGTGCACTGCCTGCAGCTGCTAGGGTGCACTATCATCTTGGGGCTGCAGAGCTGCAGGTAGAGATGTTCTGTTCTCTTGCCTGTGAAGGGTGTCAAGCTGTGGGCTCAGACACTCATTTCTCACTCTGCACTAATGAAGTCAGGAGTTCAGTCCCTGCTCCCCAACCAGCTGCTTGCTGTGTCTGTGCAGGAAAACCCTTACAACCTGTTGGATCCCACTGGTGATACAACTCCTATAACTCCTAAAGGGTTCCCCCATCAGCAGTCTGTTCTGCTGTTTTTTTATGCATCCAGAGAGTGCACCAGTGTGGGCTGGCTGTGCAAGAGAAAGGCAGGAATGGTTTTAATGAGGACACAGTGCAGAGAGCCAGAGGCATTGCACTGCTGGTGTGGGGACCAACGTGGAGTAGGTCCCACATGTGAGATACAGACCTTGCCAGGCCCCCCCTGCCACAGCGGGGTTGCACAGCTCTTTCCCACTCTGCTTCCTGCCATCTTACTGCTTAACAGTGGCTTCTGGGCTGGCTGCTTGTGAGTTCAGGAGCTTACAGGGGTATAACCCCACAGGGTTCTACAAAGTAAGAGACGATTCCTTTCTCTCCTGGGTATGAGAGCTCTCTCTGCCCAAGCATAGCAGTCTGCGAGGAGTGGCCCCAAGGCCAGCCAAGAGGGGGCCTGCTGGATGAGTCCTTGCTGTGCAATAGAAGTCCCCGCAGTCCTGCATCACAGGGGCCCTGGGAAGTGCTGTTGTACCAACTCAACTGCTTTGGTGTCAGGCCTGACTTGAGACTGGATTTTGCTGCCTGAGGATGGGTCGCACCCTCCTGCCCACACACCGCCTGGGCCGGTGTAAGCTGAGCATCCCAGAGCAGTGCATGCCCCTAGCAGAGCTAGGACATAGGCCTTTCCTCAAGACAGCCTGAAGCAGCTTCCCTGTGAGGACAGCCATCTGGTCCTAACTCAGCTGCCTTGTTTCTCCTTTCCCTCACCTTGTCAAGACAGCAAGCTTGGTGCCAGAAACAAAGAAATTCCCAAGGTGCTCCACATTTCAGTTTCCAAGGGAAGGGACAATGCTTGGCAGGACACCCTTCGACTCTAGTGCCCCAGTTTGGAGTTTGTCCCACAAATGGCATGAAGAGAGAATGGGGCCTCCCACTGCTCTTACTGCCCATGGGCCAGAGTGCAGAATGAGCATTTCAAGCAGGTGTCCTTGGGGATCTTCAAAAGCAGTGCAGGTATTAGAGGTGCTTGTTCTGCATCTTGCTGGGTGCTTCTCTGCATTTTCAGGCACCTGAGGGCTCAAAGAGCCTGTCTCAGACTCTTAAGTAATAGGGGGTGAAGAGCCGAGAGCATTTCCTGTTATCCAGGGACAGACCTTGACAGTGACTGACAGCAGGATCTCTCATGGCAGCTGGGACCCTGGGCTCTGAACACAGCCCGTGTTTTAAAGGGAGGACAAAGATGAAATGAGAGCTGATATGTTACACATAAGCCTGACATAGAGAAACTTGGGGTTCCCTGTCAGCTGGTTTCTCCTGCTGTTTTTCCAAATGTAGGCTTTGTTCTGCCTGTGGTGGTTTGGTTGGTGTGAAAGGTGTGGGAGCATGAGAGTGTCCAGGCCCACAGCCCTTGCAGGTGGCCACTAGCCACAGGGGCTTGGGATTCACCCTGCCCAGACAGCTGCACGCGGGAGGAATGGACAGCTGAGGATCTGCCAGGCTTTGGGTGCAGATTCCTCTCTGTCTGGTTTGCACAGTGCCCCTTAGCACAGCCACTTTTCTGTCCCTGAGAGCTGGGCTCCATTGGTATTCTGTGCAGTACAGCATGTTGTAAAACAGCAGTGCCTTCTGGCTCATCTGTCCCTAGTATCATGAGCTAAGTGTGGAGGGGGCAGGAAAGAAGGTGCCACACAGGGATTTTTCCCTAAAAGAGTATTAGTATTAGAAGGGAGCATGCAGCGAAGAAAAAAATTCCACCTCCAAGGTGGGGGTGAAAGAGCTGTGCTGTTCCTATAACTTTGGTGGGAATGGGGTAGAGACCTACAGAGCAAGCAGAGTTCCTATTCACATATGAGCCAGCTGAAACATGCAGCCCCGTCCCAGGACACGTGGACATGCATCCAATGTGAGCACACCTGCCGAGGCCCCGCAGAGCTGGGCGCAGTGCGCAGGGATGCTCGTGCCATGCAGCCAGGCTGCAATGCAAGAAGGAGCTCGCTGAGGGCACAGTGCTGCTCCCTCTGGAGCTGGTCCTTGTGGTGTCTTGAGGGCTACATGTAGTATCAGACATGTCTCCAAGAAGGAAAGCTGGAGCCCAGGCTACCTGTGTCCTACTTTGGCCTTTGGGGAGGAGCACTTTGGGGACAACCTGGACTGGATTTCTCTCTGGAAGCTGTCATAGAGGTGACTGACACTCAGTGGGCTGCCCACCCTGACTTGCCAATTCATGTTTGGGGCCACTGGGGAGTTGGGGAAGCTTTGGTGGGGTTGGGGAGGCAAATATGAATGAAGCTCCAGGCTAACAGTGCTGGTGTGAGGCCCTGTCCCGTGGGAGCACCGGAGAGGCAGGGGCTGTGCCACTAGTGCTGTGACCATGGCTCCCTTTCCACAGCTGAGAACAGCCATGATACAGCCATCTCACTGCTTACTTTGGGAGATGATTATGAGAGAGAAATACCCAAGGCCTGGACATGGCTGCAGCATGGGTCACAGAGGTGCCTGGGCAGCATGGATCCTTCCCTTGCTCAAAAGTGGGCTGTCTGCAGCTGACAGCACTGCCCAGACGGGACCCAACTGTGTGTGGGGCAGAGGCTGCTCAGCCCTTCCTGCTCCTGCCTGCTGAAGGCCCAGGGCATCTCTGGCTCCAGGGAGCTCCTTGGGCTCTGACTGCCACAGTCATGCACGAGGCCCACAGAGAAGACAGGAGCTCAACCTCTATCCCTTTGGAGCTGTGCTCTAGCCCTTCTCCAAGGTCTTTGCCTTGAGGGCTGCACCGCATAACCTCCCCTCTGAGGCACATGGCCAGACCTGAGTGGAGCTGGGCAATCACTCATTCTTAGGTCTCATGACTGGCACTGGGAATAGGACTTGAAACATCACAAAGAGCCCCAGTTGTCCTTGATGAACCCTGAGCCTTCCCAGAGCCTACAAATGGAACAGGAAAAGTGAAAAACCGTGGGGTCTTACCCCAGTTTGGAGGTGGGGGAACTGTTTGTCCCCATCCCACTTTTCATGTCCTTAGGTGAAAAGGGCATTTCTGCAGCAGCAGAGCTGGCTGCCCTGTGTGTGGGATCTGCAAGTAGGTAGAAGCATCCGGCTCCTCGCCACTGCAGGAATGGGAGCTGGCAGGGGACCTGTCCTCTTCCAGAGGAACATTTTCTACACGCTGTCCACCAAATGCTGGAGGTGACTTCTCCACATCTGGCTTAGATTCCTTCCCAGGTGAGCGACTGGTTACAACTGCCATAACCAACCCCGAGGCTGTAGTCCTTTGCCCCGCCTGCTGAGTCCTGCACTGGCCATGATCTGTCAGGTTTTGGGGGTACATGGTGTGCATCATGTCTCCTGGGCTTAGTGCCTGGTGTAGTGACCCTGAGCCCTGCCCAGCCTTGTGGTAGGGGCTGCTGGCCCCATCCCATGGTTCCAGGAGGGTCAGGGAGGGGAGGGAGCTGGGCAAAAGCTTCCCCTCAAAACAAGTTCCCTACCTGGCCGCTGCCTGCGTCGGTCGGCCCGGGGCTGAGGGGCTGGTCCCACCTCCGTGGGGGCTCGCTCGGTGGCAGTGGGGCGGCACCTGTGTCCTCCCAGCCAAGCGGTGGGGCTGCCCAGCTGCTGGCCGGGCTCACGCCACCCAGCTGTGCCCACAGCCCTCCGTCAGGCTGTCAAGAAACGGAGGCTCATTACATGGGTGGGGAACAAACCAGCAGGGCTGTCTCATACTGGGCCTGGCCCCACTGGGGGAGTGAGCACTGCACGGTGGCTGTGGGGTCTCCTGTGCCACGCGTGCTGCCACACACAGAGGGGATCTGCAGTGGATCTAACTGAAAGGAGGGGACAAAGAAAAAAAACCAGGCCGAGGACATGTCTCCAATGACATTTCTGATACAGCAAGTCCCTCCATAATTTGATTTGCAGCAATAACCAGCCAGATATGAACAGCAGTTCGTGCTTCAATAATTCATGGCTCTTTACAGCTTGTAAGCCCGCTGGCTGCAGCCAGGGGAGCCGATGACACCTTTGCATTAGAAAAGAATGCTAGAGATTTACATCAGGTAGCCCACCTGATCATCCCACCCCCTGCTTTCCCCATCCAGGCCTGGCTTATTTGTCTTCATTCCTCTCTCCTAGGCACAGCCAGGTTTATGTTCTTCAGGTGCAGCTTTATAAATCCCCAGCGACGTGGCGCTCCCCATGACGGGCATTCAAACCTGCGGCCCGCAGCATTAGCCATGCAGGCCCTGCCATGCAAGCCAGGCAGCTGGCACTGCTCTCCTCGCCGCGCAGCCCCAGGGGTAGCAGCAGTGGGAGCCGAGCCCCGCTGAGCTGCAGGTCCTACCAGCACTCCAGGGAAGCTCTGCGGAGCGGGGCTGACAGGGCGCGCTGGCACATCCTTGCAACACATGGATATAAGGGATTAACATCAGTTATTACTGGCGTCCTTTGGGCTGTGGGATGATGGCAGTGCTCAGCCATAGGCCAGGAGCCATCCTGCTCTGGTGGGATGCAGCCAGCTGCCTGGGCACCCAGCAGAAGCAGTGCTTGAGTGTTGGATTTGCCCTGGCCACGGTGGCTGCAGGGTCTGCACATGCAGTGGGATGTGTTTGGTGCATGGGGATCCCCCAGCAAACTTTGGTCACAGCAGCGGGTGCTGTGGCTGCCGTGAAGTGGGGAGCAGGGGGCTGGAGGTTGCCCTTTTCATGGGCACCACATCTCCTGCTGGCACTGCGGCGGCCCAGCACAGGGCCTGGGGAAGCTTAGAGTAGTCTGACCCCATCAGTGCCGAGTCTCTGCAGGTCTGTCCCTGAGCACAGCTGGGGTCTGGGGGAATTTACACTTGTGTCCCCCCAGCCCAATCTTGGCAACGTGACTTGGGGTGGTTGCTGAAACATCTATCTGGTGCTGTTTGATAAGGCCTACTGGGCATTAGGGTGCCCACCCAGAGGGCGCTTTCTTGTTTTCCTGCATGAAGCAAACCGTAACCCCTCGCTGCACCCACCTGCAGGTAGTGGTAGGCCAAGTCTTGATGGCAGGACTTGGATTTCAGCAAGGCTTTGTCGATTGTGGCTGAGGCCTTCTGGCACACTTCCCGAGCATGGCTGAGCGTCAGCGTGGACCAGGAGCCCCTCTTAATGTAGTTGGAGTCATTGTTAATGGGGATATTGGTGCAAGGGGTGACCTTGAGGTCATTATTGCTCTTGGAGGATTTCAGCATGTGCTCGCTGATGGTGTTGTAAGCATGCATGAAGTACTTCGGCTGGCTGTGGTCCGGCTGCCGGCCCAGCGTCATGAGGCCCATTGGGTTGCGGTAGCTGCAGGTATCACTGTCTAAGTTGTCATCTGAGCTCCACCAGCCTGATATGTTGGATCTGGTCCTGCGCTTCGGCTCAGAAGTCTTTGCTCGGTCTTTGCTCTTGCTCCTTCGGTTCTGCTTGGGGTCATCAGCCCCCTTCTTACCATTCACATTGCCTTTGGTGGGGCCCTCCAGAGACTGGGACTTGGCAAATAGTTTCTGGACAGAGTGGACAAGGTGCCGGATCCGCCCAGGGCTTTCACTCCGGTGTTTTGCATCGCTCCTCTGAAACTGGAGGGTGCTGAAGCCATCTCTGTGGATGGGCAGCTGTTTCTCAAACTGGTCAAGGAGGTTTGCAGGCAAGCGGTTGATTTTGGTGGCTTGGGCATGGCTTGGAAAAGGGTTCTCATCTGGGACCTCGAAGTGGGAGTTGTAATGGATGCGCGGGAAAGTGCTGCTATTGGAGATCTGGTTGTTGAGTGGGAGGAGACAATCACCGTGGAGGGTGTTCTGGGCTGGGAATCGGGGGTCCATGGTGAAGGAGTCAGTGGGGCTGAGGAGATATGGATTCCTGTCCTGGGGGGCATAAAGAGAGTCTTGAGGGGAGTCCAGGTTATCAGAGAGGTGGCGGCTTCTGTTATCTCCTAAGCCCTTCATGGTCCCACTGTTTTCTAGAGCATCGCTCAGGGGTGGTGCAAGCAGAGCCTTTGTGTGAGTGCCAACCCTGCTCCCCCGCACTTCTCTGCACCTGGAGATAGAAGAGAAATGATCAGAGTGTGCTGAAGAGGTCCTTGGCAGCCCATTCCTTACTGTGGCAATCTTGCAAAGGCTGTCCCAGCTCTAAAAACAAATGCCCCAAGGTCAAGGGATGGAAGAGAGAAACAGGACATGAGAGAGCTTGTACAGCAGGAGGGGAGGAGAAGAGACGTGCAAACCAAGGACTGGAGATAATGGGGCACAGAAGTAGAGGATATGTTTATTTTAATGGTGTCCCTTCCTCAGCCAGCATAACAAATCAGCAGGGATACTGCCAGCAAATCACTGCTCCTGTCCCATTTGTTCAGGGGGCTGAAGAAAAACCTGCTGTCAGACACTACACATGGGCCTTGCTCGAGCCAAGGGAAGCAAGGCGCTGAACGTCCAGTCCTGCTGCATTATGTTTGGTGTTTCTGTGGTTACTGGATCTCTGAGGGGAGCTGGCAGCCCTGCTCTGTGTTGCTTGCAGCTGCGCTAATGCAATATGATGTCAAACATTTCCTCTTTGACAAGCACTGGGGTTTATGGCATGTTTTACCCCGGAGGAAAATGTTTCAGTAGCTTGGATGAGAGAAGAGGTGTTTTTAAGCACTCAGAGCCTGACCTGAGAAGCTGCTTGCTGCTCAGTTGATCTTTTCTGCCCTGCTGCATTGCTCCTGGTGGAGCTGTGCTGTCCTGGCTGGCTGCCTCTTGCTATGGTGCCCCTCTGTCACCATGGCCCACACAGCAGGTACAGGCATCCCTGTGGGCTGGTGGAGGGGACAGGCTCTGAGGTTTGTCTGTGACTAATCTGTATAGCAAAAGGGAGCACCAAGGTGTACTGATCCCATCCTGCTTGTCTCTGATTGACTCCCATCTGTGCGGGGCTATACAGGGGGATAAGACTAACTCTTCTGGGGTAGCTTAAAGAAAATCAGTGATTAGATTTCCCATACTTCCTCACTGAAATCATGTAGTGTATAAACTAATTTTTATTTCCTTTGACCTTTTAGTTTAGCTTCTTATTTTCAACTGAGTGTAGTTTGAAGGCAACTAGAAAACACTGAAGCATACTACAGGTGTAAAAATCCTGAGGGCTCTAGCCACACTGCCCAAACTGTGGAAAGCAAAGGTAAGAAATTCGAGGAGGAAGACCTGCCTGCTGTAGATGAAGATCAGGTTTGAGACCATCTAAGGAACCTGAAGGAGCACAAGTCCATGGGACCAGACAAGATCCATCCACAGGTTCTGAGGGAACTGGCAGATGAAGTTGCCAAGCCGCTATCATATTTGAGAGGTTGTGGCAGCCTAGTGAAGTTCACACTGATTGGAAAAGGGGAAACATAACCCTCATTTTCCAGAAGGGAAAAAAAGAAGATCCAGGGAACCATAGGCCAGTCAGTCTCATATCTGTGCCTGGCAAGATCATGGAACAGATCCTCCTGAAGGCCCTACCGAGGCACATGGAAAATAAAGAGGAGGTGATTGGTGGTAACCAACGTGGCTTCATCAAAGGCAAGTCATGCCTGACAAACTTGGTGGCCTTTTATGATGAAGTTACAATGTCAGTGGATAAAGGAAGAGTAACTGATGTCATCTACCTGGACTTGTGCAAAGCATTTGACACTGTCCCTCATGACATTCTGGTTGCCAAATTGGAGAAAAATGGATGTGATGGATGGACAACTTGCTGGATAAGGAACTGGCTGGATGGTCTCATTCACAGAGCTATGGTCAATGGCTCAATGTCCACATGGAGACGAGTGATGAGGGGTGCTTCTCAGGGATCAGTGCTGGGACCAGTGTTATTTAACATAGCCCACGTGAAGCATCCATGTGAGCTGGTGGAACAACAGCTGGAGAAGTGCCGAGGAGAGGAGAGGAGAGGAGAGGAGAGGAGAGGAGAGGAGAGGAGAGGAGAGGAGAGGAGAGGAGAGG